CACCATTGACTATTCTGATGGAAGCCCAGGGCTGCATAAAATTCAAACTTACAGAATAAAATTTAACAATTCTCTTATTTCTGTACATTCTTGTCAGTGTAATGTGTATTTGTTACAAACAAAGATTCGTCTACACATTTTCATCTGAACCTGGTTCTTTCCTTAGAGTAGATATCTAAATTTACTTTCTGCTTTTTGTTTGTTTTTTGGTTTTGGGGTTTTTTTTGTTTGTTTTTGGTCTTTTTGAGACAGGGTCTCCCCGTAGCCCCAGCTGTCCTGGAACTCACTATGTAGACCAGGCTGGCCTTGAACTCACAGAGATCGGCCTGCCTCTGCCTCCCAAGTACTGGAATGAAGGGTGTGTGCCACCACGCCCGGCATATTCTGCTTTTTATTTTAAAAGATGTATTGTGAATTTCTAAATAAATATACAAAATGTTTAGAAAATTGTCTTAACAATACCGGCTCTCATCTGTGTTCTAGAAATTTAATCATCTATAACAGCCAAATATAATAAAATAATACGTATGCCTTTTTCCCTTTTCAGTGGTGTTGGGATGCAACCCCAGGCCTTGCACATGCTGGGCAAGTGTTCTACCACTGAGCTACATCCCCGGCCCCTACATGATATTTTCAAAGGGTAAAAAGTGAAATACTTTTTAATAATTAGAAAAACTAAGATAAATTGAAAGCTGGACTATTCTAAATGTCCTCCAGGCCAGCCAGCTTTAAGGGTATATAATTTCATGATGTCTTTTTCCCACAGCCCACTAGCAGAGGGGGCTTCCAAACGACTGTGGGCACCGCAGCCCACCCTCTGACCACACTTAAGATTCCAGACTTGCTTGTTGCCGGTGTCTGGCTCTGGGGTCTAGGGCCTGGGCTAAGCATTATTAACGGATGCCACCACTAGAGGGCAGACAGGGACAGGGAGAGGAGAAGGACACTGCTGTTGGTCCCATTCTTTCTTCAGCATAATCTTTATTTCAGCGGGAAAATGGAAAATGAGGTAGTGACGAGCAAAGGACACCGGCAGTAAGTAAACACATGGACAGTAAGTATAGAAAATGAAGCCAAGTGTCATGGAGCACTTCTGTAATCCCAGTACTCAGAAGGCTGAGGTGAGATTGCCAGTTTGAGGCCAGCCTGGGCTACTAAGACTGAATCAAAAATAAACATTGATGATGAGGAGGACGATGATAATAATAACCAAAACTTCTGTGTATTAACTATTTCCATTTCCTCAGATTAATTCGAAGGTGCAGAATTATGAGGGCTACTCAAATTTGGAACAATAAAAAACCAAGTAATCTAGTTTATAGCATGAACAATTAGTACTCTTAGATTTTTGCAGAAGGAGATGGCGAATCTGGAGCAAGATACGGAACAGTCCCTGTCCGAACTTGTGCCAGCATGGGTTTGGGATTGGCTTTCCTTCATCTTTCATGATCTCTCAGTGGCTGCAATCCTGCATTGGAGACCAACAGTCTCCAAACTTCACTTGTCTCCCCTATCACATATGACACCAATGGAACCTTCCCCAAGCTGTCTGTGAACAATTAATAAGATAATGGGAGAAAAAGCCTGACGTACAGGAAGTTCTCCTAAAAGCTGGTTATTGTTCTGGTCCTCACCAACCTCCTAAGCAAGTTCATATTTTGTTAGCTGCCTCTTTTACCTGCTTTGTTTCACCTTAAACTTCATACACCTGTGGTCAAAGCAGCCCCATGCACTGCCTGACTTGGAGATTCCTCTGATTGGTTTTTTAATGACCCAGAGAACATACCATTCTCTGTAGCCTGTGCTCCTCCCATAGCCACACCCAGTTAGTTTTCAAAGCAGGTCAATTTGCTCCCTAAGGTGTCTGGGGTCTGGATTCTTGCTTGTGCATCAGAAGCCAGGCCTCAGTGTCACTGCCTGCTCGCCCTGAGCACACCCTCCTTCAAACTGTGTCTGCCCTCTTCGGCTTCTCAGTGTCCCGTGACATGACATCTTTAACTAGATATTACACCCCTCAGTCTGGCAGTCAGTCCCACTACAGAATGGCCCCCGACTTCCTCCAGATACTTCTCCACATGCTCCTGTCTCTGCTCTATCAAGATGGGTGACTCAGTTGACTGTGTTGCCAGATAACGAAATTAAAAATATAGATCATTCAATTAAATGTGATCCAGGTGTACAAGTAGGTAGGTACAAAGCACAAATACTTAAAAATGTTTCTTATCTGAAATTCACATTTCGGTAGGCACCCTTCATTTCATGTAGTAATCCCATTCCTTAAGGGTGCCCTCCATCCCTATCTCTATCCATGCTCACAGCTCCATTCCTACCCCAGTTGCTCTCACCTCTGTCTGTGCTCAGCAGATCTGATCTCCAGGAACCAACTCAACCTTATACCTCCTGGAGGCTGGAGGTTTTCCATATCTAGAACTCGTTATCTGTACCACTAGTTTGTAGAATGGCGGTCTTCTACATCGTTCCATTTCTCTGAGTTAGCGTCTATCACTGTTGAGTCTATCAAGGTGTGAGATAGTATTATAACGAGGAGAACTTGACATGCGTGGTGCTGGTTGCTGGCCTGGGTGGCAGGCTTGAAGGAGAATGGAGGAGAATGAGAACTTCCCAAGACTATTAATCTGAAATTTAGGGCTCTTGTACACACATAGGTTTCAGCATGCAATATACCATCTCCCCTGCCCAACGTCAGGCCAGATGGGAGAAGGAGGCAGCTTCCTGACCTTCGCCTCTACTCACCCTCAGCTCCATGTCCCAAAAAAGTTGCAGGTGATTTTAGCTGACATCTACACTGCTGCAGTTTCACACAGTCTCTTGAGTAACATGATTGCACTTGTATTTAAACATGAGGGTTAAGAGTGGCTACTGTGGGGCTGGAGAGATGGCTCAGCATTAAGAGCACTGTTGCTTTGCAGAGGACCCATGTTTGGTTCCCAGCACTTACATACATGCAGGCAATACATTCGTATTCATGAAATAAAAATAATAAAATATTTTTTTAATAATTTTTTTTAAAAAGAATGGCTATTCTACGTAGCCTGTAAACACATAGTGATGATAAGAGTTATTCTGGAGACATTATATTTCCATTTAATTAATAGAAAAGTGAAAAACAATTGAGAAATATTTTCTAAATTACATAACAAAATACTCTCAGGAGCCTGAAAACACCTCAAGTAACCTACAAAACTGTTAAAGAATTCCCAAGAAATGTTTTTGAAACAACTGATATTTCATGAATATGTTTATAAGCTAGGCACCCAAAGACCAATGGCCAACAATTCGACTTTGACAAAAATAATTCAATTTGATTTTGTCAAATAAGAAAATATTTTTAAAACGAAACATATAACTCAACCTTATCTACTGCTGAAAAGTAAAATGGTATGGAAAAGTGCAAGGCTGACATGGTAAATCTTTCTCTAACTTAGTCACTGAGGCCAGGTCTCTCAGGTGAACCCAGAACAGCTAGCCAGCCCACGTGGCTTTCTATGGGCGCTGAGGATCCAGACTGCTATTCCGGCTTGCTGCTTGTGTGGCAAACACTTAACCAAGCCATCTCCTCAGCTGGCAAAAATTATTTAGCAATTCTAAGAGGGACGAGTTCAACATCAACAGAATCAGGGTCACTGTGACCAAGACTTCTGTCCCTAGAGCTCCACAGAGTAACAATTAAGTAGAAGAATAAAATTGCTTCTGAACTGACCTTGAAGTATTGCTCTGAAAATAAACATGAAAAGTTGTTTGTTTGTCTAGATCTGTCATATTTATCCAGATTTATTTTGTTTTCTTCTATCATTTTAAAATATAACAACTAGGAAATCATACTCTCTCTATTAAAAAGTATTGTACTTGCCAATCATTTCCCTGGAATTGGAGTTACAGATTTTAATCTGAAAATGTAATCCTTAAATTCTTCCAGGTAAGAAATAGGCGGTTGAGAGCCACCTGAGCTAAAAGGAAGCCCAGGTCTCTCGCTGGCTCTGGGCCCCCTGGGGCTCTACAATCTTCTTGCTACAGGTTCTAAACACACCAGTCTCAAACAGGGAAGAACCAAAAGCACAACAATACATTTCCTGCCCAGTGGCCACCAGATCCTCTTTGTCAGTCTTTGTGATAACATTCATCAAGCTACCCCACCACACAACTGTGGATGTTATCTGTCGGGATGCATACACGGCCCATCCTCTAAACAAATGCACTCAGGAATGTCAAAAGAATTTGGAATGTCCCCAGCAGCCTTCCAAGTCTTTGTGGGCAGTGTCTACTGTTCTTGGATTTATTCCATTCCCCGTCCACCTTTCCACTTCCAAACGCAGTGACATATCCCTCAAGACACACAGACAATATATGCTGAAGGAGTGTTTTGAAAAAAATAATTGGAATGTAAAGAATGACTAGGAACAGTTTCTATCGCTGAAACTGTTCAGTGCTGGGCCATTGTTGTCTTCTTTTCTAGAAAGTTCTTCATTGTCTACAAAATCAGTGGCCAAGAAAGGAAACTTTGTACTAAAATAATCTTCATCTTCACAATTTTACACGAAATTTAAATTTCAGTGAAAATAACTTCTGTAATTGTGTGGTTTTGCTTGAAGACATGTTTATTAAAGTTATTCTAAACCAGTATTGACCAACGAAATGGCAGATGGATCAGCATTCCAAACAACACAAACAATATCAAGAAAGGGTTTTTCGAAAGTGATCATTAATGAAATTACAGTACACCAGATGATAGATTAAAGGGAATTATGGGAGATAAAATCAGCTATCTGAAAATATACATTAACTGTATATTGACTCAACAAGTCAGAACTAAGACTGATTTCTACATTTCTTCAGAGATACAAGCAAAGCTCACCAAAAGGTTACCTGAGGACCTGCCCTCAAATCACAAATACTGTCTGTGTCTAATACCATAATACCCCCAGCTCAGGAGATAGATACATTAAGCTACACCAAGAGGCAGACTTAAAAATGACACATACCTTAGTTTGGAGACATGCAGTCATTTAAAGTCCACGCCATTAGTGAATGTCCCTCTTTTCCGCCTCAGCAGCTTCATCGAGTTTCTTTTCAGTGTGCCTAAACACCTAGAGATTTCTGCTCTGCCTTCAAAAATGCTGGCATCATCTCCATTGCCCAAATCCAGTTCAAAAGTGAAGAGGAGAAAAAAGCAGTTTGCAAACTGATTGTGCCTAACAACCCCGGGAAGCTGCTAAGCTTTGAGCTCAATGAATTAAAGGTCCTTTGGCTAAACGGCAGGCCCACTTCCTCCCATTCTTTCCCAACTTAGTTTTCCTGCCTCCAGTGGAGCCGTTTTCCTTTCCTGGGCTATAAATAAGCTGGTTGTAAGAGAACTGAGGAAAGAAGAGGCAGGAAATGTATTTGATTTCAGAAAAACTGTGTGTGTGTGTGTGTGTGTGTGTGTGTGTGTGTGTGTTTCTTTCAGGTCAATACCAGTAAACAAAGAAAATTTAGCCTAAATAATTCAGCTTTGGTATGAGGAGCAGAGTTGGAACTTAATGTCCTTTGGTCTCTGTTTTTGACTGCAAGTTGTCACTTCACAGCAGCAACACTTGAATTTGGAGATGTGTCATTTTTTGCATCGAATATCATGAACAAATCTTATTGCATCCCTTATTTCCCATAAAGTGAATTTCCGGGGGAAATGATGGTAGCCCAGTAGGAAGACTCTGGTTCTGTTCTTTTCTTCCCTCCCCTCCCCTCCCCTCTGTTGCCTTTTTCATTCCCTTTCTCTCTCTTTCTCTTTCTCTCTTTCTCTCTTTCTTTCTCTTTTCAGAAAGTTTAGACAATGTCTTGCTATATAGCCCAGGTTGGCCTCAAACTCATGATCCTTCTGCCTCAGCCTTTCAAATACCGGGATAACAGGCATGTAAACAGGTTGTTTCTTTTCATTTAAAAAGAAGTGGAGGCTGAAGAGATGACTCAGGTTAAGAGCACTTGCTAGTACTCATGAGGACCAGAGTTCAGATCCCAGCACTCATGTCACAAGCCAAGTGTTCTACAAATGCCTATAACTCCAACTCTAATCCAAAACTTTCCAGCCTCTGTACACAAAGGTATGTACACCTGTATACATACAAATGCATACACTCTCTCTCTCACATACACACACACATGCATAAATTAATAAAATCTGAAGAAAAGAAGTGGAAAATTTTTTGACTCAAGGTACCAAAAACAAAACAAAACAAAACAAAAAAAAAACCCTCCGAAACAAAATGACAACAAAAACCACCTGAATATAAGATGGATAAGAAAAACCGATACTTTTGCAGAGTCAAAGTCAAGCTTGTAACTGTATCATCCATTCACCTTAACTAAGCCAATAGCTTGTCCAGTCTTGCAGTCCAAAGTTGTTCAACTTCTCTCATAATTATACAATATAAGCAGGCATTAAAATTAGATACTATTTTTCATGAATTGATAGGCAGATTAAAAGCTTCAGCTAACATCTGATACTGCAGTATAAAGAAATAATCATTTGTATAGTAGGTAGGAATATAAATTAGTCTATATTATTTTTGAGGATAGTTCTCAACTTTTTTCAAAAATTTCAGTGTACGTTCTCTAACAAGACAATGGGATCTGGCTGAGTTTGCAAAGTGGGAGTATAGGTTAGGGATGGTGAAGACAGTTTTGCTTGTAGCACATAAATGCTTTTTAAATTCTTATATCTGTCTATGTCATGCTCCAAATTTTTATTGATTTTAGCTTAGTGGTTGAGTACTTGCTTAGCATGCTCAAGGTTCTGGGTTAAATCCTCAGGACCACAAAAATGTAGAAAATAAAAATTAAACTTTATTCACTTAAGAATCGAGAAAACTGTACTAAAGAACTTTATATGATTCTATGAGAAAGATATTTATTATCTATGTATCATCTCTCCATCTCTCTGTCTCTGCATCAGTCTACACTTAACTGCCTAAGAAGTTGTTCTTCACATTGGCGAAACATGGGTACAATACAAAGCTGCCTAGTCTCTTGGAGAAGCTGCTCAAAGAGCAGTCAGGGACAGTAGCCTGAGTGGTACCTACATCAGGATCACCAGGGAGGGTCATACATGATTAATGTCAGGTGATTATACATAAAATTACTATATCAGCTTGCTTATTAATATCTCACCCTCTAAAATAAATTTTAGATCTTAAATGTAATAATAAAAATATTAATGTCTTCAGCATTCAGGTCTTATCATCAAGCTCTGGTGGGTAACCAAGAACAGGGGCAATGGCCAGTAGCGTTTGAGGGCCCAAGGAACCCCTGATCAACAGCTTCTAGAGGGACTCCACTCCTGGCATTAAGAGTTTTGTTGTTAGCCTATGATATCTAGAAGAGGAAATGTATCCTTGTTATAGGGTAACTCCTTTCTCTTTTTGTGATATATATGCATATACTTTAAGAAGCTTTTATAGGGACTAGAGAGATGGCTCAGTGGTTAAGAGTACTGACTGCTCTCATAGAGGACCCAGGTTTGGTTCCCACCACCCACATGGCAGCTAACAACCATCCATAACTCCACTTGCAGGGGATCCAGCACCCTCTTCTGACTTCTGTGAGCATTGCACAACACAGGTATACGTATATACAGTAAGCAAAGCACTCATACACATAAAATAAAAATAAATTTTTTTAAAAAGAAGCTTCTATGGTGGTAGGTTTCCATATGGCTTTTTCTAAAGGCCTTTAGTGTTATTATCCCTCCCCATACTCCTTCCTCTGTGCTGCCCTCACATTTCCCACCCCATTTAACCCTTCCTACTCTAATGTTCCCCTTTTCCCCTTTATATCATGACAGCAGATGGTGATTAACACAGAAACCCACAACTAGGCAATGTGAAGAGGTTACAGACTGGTCATCCCTGACTAGGACAGCTATATCAAACTTCTGCCTTCCAAGGCTCAGGGATCATTTTGGAAGAGGGGCCAGAAAGATTTTAAGAGCCAGAGGTGATAGAGGACCAGAAGAAAACAAAGTTTTCCAGATAGCTAGGAAGTTACTGATAGGAACTCACAGCAATGGTGACACCATGCACAAGTCCTATTCAAGCTCAAACCAGACAAAATCACAGAAGACGTGGAGATGTAGGAAAGAAAACCCAACCCACCCTAAGAAAATGTTGGCAACTGATGGCTTCTGGGAGGGAGAGACACAATCTCTTTCAAGGATGGCACTCTTGATAAGTTAACCAGGCTCCAGTGGATGAACCAACACTGAAGGACATTTGAGGACACAAATTAGACCCTATAGGCTTAATATATACATATATATGTATATATTAAGTATCTCATAGATATATATTAGAGCACATTAAATTGGGTGGAGAACAATAAGGGGAGGTGCTGACGGGGGGGGATCTAAACACCATCAAATTATATTATATGAAATTCACAAAAATTCAATTAAAAAGTAAATAAATAATATTTAAAAATTAAATGTTCTTTATATTGGTCACTCCTATTTAGAAGGTCAGAAGAACTCTTACGTACAATGTTAAGAAGACACTGGCATTCCAGGTACCTCAGAGACAGTACCTGGAGTGAGGCAAAAGCAAAGGAAGAGCAGCTAGAGGTACTTAGGAGAGACAGAAGCTCTCACATGTCATGCACAATTAGATGGACATAGAACTTGAAACAAATTCCACTATCATGATCATTTGAGTGAATGACTCTAATGTCTCCCATGGAAACCAATATCCTTTCCTCTGTTTTTGTTTAGTGATTTATTATTATTATTTTCTCACCCAGCCATTTCTTATCCATTCTTTTTTTGTCTTTTTGAGACAGGGTCTCCCTATAGCCCCAGCTGACTTGGAATTCACGGTGTAGACCAGGACAGACTCGATCTCACAGAAATTCACCTGCCTCTGCTTCTGCACCCTGGGATTAAAGGTGTACCCCATGCTCTTGTTTATTCTTGATCTTATAGAAGCAATAGGTTGAACTATGAACTTTGCAAAGGAAAACAATTGTATCTATCTCCCAGATCAGATTACAGAGGGAAGGAGTCGGATCGGGAAAGAAGAGAGAAAAGAGGGACTGGGGAAGTAGGCTCAGCGGCACTGGCTGCTCTTGCAGAAGACCCGGCTTTGATTCCCAGAATTCACATGGAGGCTAACAACCATCTCTAACTCCAGTTCCAGGGGATCTGGCCTCTGTGGGCATTGTATGCATGTGGTACACTTACATACATGAAGACAAAACACTCATCCACATAAAATGTAATTTTTAATTACAAAAAAAAGAGGAGAAAGAAGGGAGAGAGAGAGAGAGAGAGAGAGAGAGAGAGAGAGAGAGAGAGATGAATGACTTCTTATAATAGCAGAATGGAAAAAAATCAGTGCTGGTGATCAGCAGTGGTGCACTGAAGGCAATGACAGTGCAGGGAGTTGACCTTGGCAATGAGCGACAGGTGCTTCTGCCTGAGAAGAAGGAACGCTTCTAAGAAAATCCCAAGTGCATTTACCAGGCTTCATTGTCTTCTGGAAATATTCCTTTTCTTTCTATGGGGGAAATATTTTACTCTTCAACCAGAGCAGCTTTAAAGATCTCCCCATAGAGCCTATCTCTAGAGATGAAACATTAAAACTCTTAGGAACAGGAATGTTCAGTATTCTTAATCTGAAACTAATGATTAGACACTCTCAAAACACCTAGGAGGAAACATTAGAAGCCTGTCCAGAAAATTAATGCATGACATTCTTCAGTTATTTGGTTCTGTTAAGTGGAGGAAACTATATACATTTTTTATTCCAGTCACCTAAAAATAATTTCAATGTGTACAATATAATAGAAACCTAAATCAAAGTCCTCAAAGGAAACACCAAAAGGTCTAGATGTTATTCCTTAAATCAACCAAATGTACTATATGTACCTAAGCCTTAGTTAGGAAGAATTTGTATTAAATAGCCCATCTTTGTTCACAAAGAACAGAACTCTGGGAAATCACTAAATTGTGGGACTTGGCTGTTGTTTAATACTAATAAAATATATAGAAATTGATGGAATAAGAACTCAGAAGGATTCAGGTTTCACACAGCTTTTTAAATTTTAGCAGGAATATAAAAAGATGGTTGAAAGTTGGGAGGAATTCTACATTCCAAATTAAAATATAAAAGTAAACTATTTGAAAGAACTAGAAAACAGTAGCATAAAATAAAGTATGTA